TAGTCTTTTATATCAATTATTAAATACATGTACCTAAACTTTAACTCTCTCATTCTCTCTCCCTCCCTATGTCCCTCTCTCCCTTTCATTCTTTCTTTCTTACTATGCCCCTTCCTCCCTCGTCCTATATTGTATATATCATACGATTTAGACAACTATTTTTAAAGTACAAAGTGTTTCTAATTAAAAAAACAAAATTTGAACACAAAAGAAACGACTAACAAAGATTTTAATAACAATCAGTTACATACTTGGAAGTGTTAACTCTCTATCCCATTTCTTATTCTCTCTTCGACCCTGTCTCCACCTCTCTCTCTCTATTACTCTCACTCTCACTCTCTCTCTCCATCTTCATGTCCCTGTAACATTAACTCAATTTCTCTATATATCTCTCTCTCTTTTTCTCTTTCCATCTTGCTCTCATTTTGTGTCTCCCTCTCTCTCATTCTTGGTCTCCATTTCTCTTTCCCTCCCTTGTTCTAAAATGTATACACACATTTAAAGTACAAACTGTTTCTTCTTAAACCAGGTTAATTAAAAGATTAGGAACAAAAAAGACATGGCCTAAAATTGTGGTAATATCAATCAATTACGTGTACTAAAAAGCTTTACCTCTCTCCCCCCCCTCCTTTCTCTTTCTCCTCTCCATCCCTATGTCCCTCCCTCGATTTATCCCTATCATTCTCTCTCTCTTGCTCTCTCTCGCTTCTCCTCTATCTCTTTCTATCTCTTGTTCTCCATCTCCCACATCTCTCTCTCATTCTCGCTCTCTCCTCCAAAATTGTAGATATCATACTATTGAGATAACTACGTTTCAAGTACAACTATGTCTCCTCACTATCTCACTCTCTTTCCCTATAACTATTTTATATATTGAGATAACCAGATTTCTTTTTGGCTCTTTCCCAAAAGACCTCATACTAAGTACTATTGGATATGACTTATATATTAGACACACTTTTGTCTAAACTTCTAATGTGTAACTTGGATTGATATCAATCCTCCCCACAAACTATGGACCACATAAATTGTTGACCTCCCAACCTCCAGTGAAACCTGGAACCCATCTTATACCACCGTAAACACGAATGGAACCGCGCTGCCTTACCTTCCGGGTTTCCATATTTTCAGGGTCGTTAATTACCTGCCGG